GGATTTGTCGCACCGCCACATTCGCTTTTGAATTCCTTTTCTTCATCTGGGAGATACGATGGTGGTTCCTTGATGACACCTGGAAATTTTAAATTCAGATTATGATGCTATCGTTAAGTTTTGAGGTCTTGAAGAAATTTGAACTCGTAGAGAGGCAATTTAATGGCAACAATGTCTGTCTGGCTGAATCGTAAGATTTGTCAGCGATGTGACGCGAGCGCCGGTTTGCGCCAACGTTCAGGAAGAATTTCCGCAGTGTTTTGTTTGGTGTGTCATAGTTGATCATAGGTGAGAGGCTAACAGTCGATTGTCAGGTTCATGTGGCGGCGACGCGGCGAAGGCATGCAAGTAGCTTCATGTGCGCGGCGTTTATTCCAGGACCTAATTGATTTATCATGAAATTGCTTCAGTATGTCGAGTCAACCAGACTAGTTTGTGCGCATCACCGCAACGCGGATCTCCTGACCGTGACTCTGTGAGGCTATAAATGACCAGCTGAACTCACCCTCATAGATGATATCATAGCGCAGGCGAAACCCACGATGTTGACGTCCTGGTGCAGTGGTGACGAACTGCACGTAGATGGTCGGCTGCATCGTCACGATCTTTGGTGGCAGACTGTTGCCACATAGACGACTGCCGATATGTTCCTTACCTGCAATCAACAGTGATCAATGTGCCCGTGTGTAATGCACGAAAAACGGAAATCGGAAGCCGAAAAGCTGTAGCAAGATGTAACCCAAAGACAGAGCCCAAGCTTCTCAAGAATCAGAATTTAGGTTCTTCTTCAAATCTTGATTTAAAATGAAGATGGCGGGAGTTGGAGCACGCTATGTAAACCACTTAACCATGAGAAGCGGTAGGCGTGACCGCGTACCTTATTTATGCCCGGAGTAGGGTGGAGTGATCGTGGGATATTTCATTTGAGACAAGCTGCCGTTTAACATATATGTGGCTCAAAAGACGGTTGCGAACTTGCCCGCAAATAATCTTGTTCACCAGAGCGCAGCCGTCGCCGCGTTCAAAGTACGTAGCCACGCCCACCGCATCTCAAGGATATAAACGAGCGGACTCTCTGCAGACAGACAGCTGGTACCTTCCTATCCCCCCCGTACGTCTACCAGCTGTTGCTCCCCCCTCCTACTGCTTAAATGCTCTCCACTTCCTAGACGATGGGGTGAGGGTGAGGGGACCTGTTAGGCGGCTGTTGGTCGTAGATCGACGCACATATACTTCCTAGCCCTAAGAACGGCCTTTGTCGGGGCTGATGGAGCTATGCTCGTTGCGGACTGTGGTAGACATGCTAGTAGCGGCGCAATTACTATACTTTCCTAGTCGCTGAACGCTCGCGGACGCTCGAAGCGTTGGTAGAGTCGCTGCCGCAAAGTAATGAACGCAGTCTAGAAGGGTTTGAGATCCCAGTGATCCAAAGCCAGGTGACCCTACTCCAATATAGCACTGAGAACTTTTATCTACTGAAAGAGAGCGAGAATCAAGGAACAAGAACAGGAGTCAACAGGTTACAATATTCAGTGCTGATCGGCCTTCGACGGTCATTGTGCACTTTCGCAGTTCCATTTCTTAGTTGCCAGCACAGCAATTTACAGGTCTTGACAAGGCAGCCTTTACACACTATGCTGAGCACACTATCACAGTGCAACCAACCAAGCCATACCGCGAGGTGCCTAACGTATTTGGGGGGGGGACCACGCGGCGAGCGGCGAGCGATGACTCATCCGCTCTTCTGCTCCCTCCTCGGCAAAAAAGAAGTAATTTCATGTTTAGGACATGGATAAACACCGTAGCTATATTCAAAAGCTAAAACAGTTAAGGCTGAAAAGTGCGAAGAAACAGTTGTAGGCTGGAAGATTTTGCCTAAAATACAAACGAATGTTGCCTTTTTGTTGATTCTTGACTATAAAAGATCAAATATTTGTTGTTTTCAGCTTCTGTAGGATTTCCCAGCAAGTTCCCGGTAAATCTTGTTTGTTTCATTCTAATTTGACTGCTAGATTCGCGCTTCAAGTATGCCTATGAGTGAAGAGCTGATGAGTCATCACTCGTCCGCTTGCCGCGTGGTCCCCCCCCAAATACGTTAGCACCTCCCCGCCGTTCATATATTCAATAAGAGGTATTTGTAATATAAAGTCACTGTTCAGGGAAAAGCGTGAGTTTCGAGGCGCGAGCAAACGAGAATGGGTGTAAAGATAGCGTTGGAATGAGGCGCGGCCTGGCATTCGCCGCGGCCACTGGGGACCTGTAGAGGGGTTTTGACGAGCGTATCACTTTAACGGATGACCCGAGGGCGAGGCTGTCCCCTGGGATGGCAAATGCTTGGAAGTGAAGGCTGCGAAAGCTGTCAAGAACCTCATTTCCCTACAGTACATTCCACTGGATGAGCGATGGCTCGTTCAACTTGGGTATGCTCGACCACAACGTCATCCCTATAAATGGGGGAGTTTCCCCATCGGGAATTGACGGGCACGTTGATCAGGGCTGCACTCTCGTCGTCTTCGTAATGGCACTGGGTCATTTCAGGAAAACCCAACAAGAAGAGAATATATTGTCTGTGTCCTTTTCGTGGGTGTAAACGGTAGGATGTAGAAAGGATCTGAATAGTGGGCATTTTGACATCTAGATGAGATCTCCGATGTCAATTTAATCTCTCGCACTGTTCGAGTTGGGGGGGGGGACATTTTGCACTTCCGCTATTCCTTTTGTTGATTCATGTAAATTAACAGGTCTAGCTTTGATGAGACTTTAATCTCCTATAGCTGAGTACCATTCGGTGCTGGTGAGCCACTTTGGTTACATGAGTTCACAGGTGTCCACAAGGTGGCCTACAAAGAATTTTTTTTTTTTTTTTTTTTTTTTTTTCTTTTTTGGTTAGCTGAGTGCCATTCGATGTCCCCACCGAGCCGAACTGCGCCCTGATCTCTGTACATGCAAGACTCTTGTCTTCGACCTTTTCTAGACATCGCCTGGGTAACCAATTAAGTTGTAAGAGCTCAAGCCTCCGGAGTGATGAAAAAAAAAAGCAGCAATCTTTCAAGCGCGCTATCTAAAAGTGCAACTCAAGTCCTGCCACTCTGAGGCGTTGCATGAATCGGGTAAGTATACGCAACCGCGGTAGAAACGAAATAAACGCTTATTTTTGAATTGCTGAGTCTCCGGTGTGAACTTAAAGACACACTCCGCGATTACAAGTCGTGAGCAGCGGCGTTCAAATATGAACTATTATGTGCCGGTTGATTTGCCAGTAAAGAAAAAAAACAGAATTCAATTCGAAAAACCTACCTAAATAATGCTCGTTTGACAAGGGTGGGTGGTGCCAATACTGGAAAAGGTGTGGTCAGATTCGGGCCACGCAGCCCGCCTGGCTTTCTTACTACTTGTTTTCAAATGGCGAGGTGATACAATAGATGAAGCTTCGGACCTTATGATCGTAAACCAGGAAGGGTTCGACCTACCAGGTGATCGCGGAATGTGCCTTTAAGTTCCAAAACCTGGAAGGGCAAGGAAGTCAGATTCGAAATAATGACAAAAGCATGTCAGAAAGGCGCGGGTTTTCTACCATCTTCTTCGCACCCCTGCTTCGCATATTGCTGGAAGAACGACCGGCGGCTCGCATTAGACGGAGCCAACCCCTGCCCCCCCCCTCTTAAATCCCACAGCAGCCGTAATGAGTGAAACTGTGTTCCTCATTGCGTACATTTTTTATAAATTGTCTTTGAAAGAAGATTTACCTAGACGATCAACGACGATCACCAGCACATACGCTTCGAGGCACTGTCCCCCTGTTCCTGACACATAAGCATCAACAGTCGATTCGCTCATCGATAGCGATCAATAGGCAGACCTGTTATTTTCGGCTAGATCAAATGACAGAAATGTGAGGTGTATAACGTTGGAGGGCACGGTTGATATGTTATAGAGGCACGAGAGATCCGATCGATACGGTGTTGGAAACGCCGGCGATTCGAGTGTTCCTAGATGAGAAACGATCGATAATTGATGAAAAAACTTTGAAGTGCTTGAAAAGCTATTCTTGCAATCAGGCCCTGTAAGGCAGAACTATTAATAACAATGAATCGGATATCAGGAAAAATCGCTCTACACATAAGTATTTCACTTCAGCGAGCTAGAGATGCAGACAAGGAAAAAACCTGCTTCTCTGACTCTCACTTTTGTATTTTAGCTAGCATCCAATGCCTTCTGAAAAACCACTTTTTTTTTGGAAATAAGGGAAGCATACAGGCGTGTGCCGTAGCACGGTTTGATAAGATGGGCTGTATTCTTCACTAGACAGAGACGCAGAGAAACAGCTTTGCTTCTCTGACTCTTGCAGGTAGGGGTGAGACTCTGACTGTGTTTTTTGGTGTCAGAAATTTTTTTCGGGATAATCTAAGAAAAGCTCGCCCAGTATTACATCCATGGTGGCATCGGGATATAGAACTAAAACATATAACAGCTTTTTCAATGAGTAAATAGTTCAATGGCAGAGAAGCAAATGGTTGCTAAACTCTGCTTCTCTGATTCTCGCCTGATGCATAAACACTACAACAGACATCTACTCATAATGAACGGATGTTCAAACCAGAAAGGTAATGTGGGAAAGCGGAAGATGTCAACCAGGGCACAGCATTCGATGGGGATTTTGGTCGAGCTCGTACGACCCCCCCCTTTTTGGGGGTTCGGTACGACCCCCCCCTTTTTTTGTTTTGGTTTTTTTCACACAAAAACAACTGACAAGTACCCAGAGCTAGCCGTTCATAACTTTTTCCTAGTTTTAGTGAGCGTTCAGGATAGCTTCGAGATGCCGCTTTTGAGTATTTATTTATTGTTCCCTACGTGAATCTGAAAAAAATCGAGAGGAAATAAACACAACTCAAAGCTATTTTGAACGCTCACTAAAACTAGGAAAACTTATGAGCGCAAAGGAAGGGAAAAAGGAGGAGGGGAGCAAACAAAAAAAAACAAACAGGAACAATAAACATGAACGATAAATAAATGGTAATGGTACGATAATAATAAAATAATCGATAAATTTGTTAAAACAAATGGAAATCCAGTTGTTGTGCGCAGGACCCCAGTGCACTTGATTTGAGGGGCAGAATTTCCGCAGAAATCGTACGGTAGCAGAAGTGCGTGTGTAATTGCAGCTTTGACTGGAGCAAACGGCTATTAGCCATGGAGCGAGAATTTTCAGCAAAGTAGGGTGTCTTTGAAGGACCATAACTTCCTCAAAAGCGGACCTGTGGGGAAGAGGAGAGCGTATTGGTAAATTAGAAGGTTTGATCTTCCTGAAAGTACTAAAATGTTCATGAAGGTCGCGAAAATCACAGAGAAATCTGCCATAGGGATTCGTTGGGGAGTGAAGGGTTGAAGTTCGAGTTGAACAGGTTTGAATCAATATATTTTTTTTGTAACTCAACATTTCACAAATCTGAGAACGGATCCGAGCTTCTCAAGATTTTCTCTTTCTAAAAACCTATTGAACTGTTCCTGAAGCTCTCGGGATTCATGAGATCTCGCGATGGGGATTTCTTAGGGAGCACTCCCAGCCGCGCGAAAAACCCGTTTCCTGTGCACCGTTTCAAGTGAGCGTGTTCGAATAGCCAGGAACGCATGTAGAACGTATCCTGTGGTGGAGCAGGAGCAGGATATGGTTCGTTTAGCGCCGATCACGCTGACTTTGTATGCGCCGCGCACTGAGGTCCGCGCAGAGGTGATGGGATGGTGCAACTTGTGCGTAATGTCTGTTCACGCGAGCAAATGTGTCTATAGTATTAGTGAATAAATTCAGGGAGGTCTATGACGAACCTGTGCACTTGTTACAGTGTTTTCCCTTGTGGATGATGGAGCGTGTCTGTGTCGACGCCGCCCGATCTGTGCTCCTCCAATTGCTGTCTCCGATAAAGGAGACCAACTGCTGGAAAACGTGTGATACGAACGATATGGTAGTCGCGTCGCTTGTCGAAAAAATAGGCTGGATCAGCCCCAAGCGCAATCGCGGACACGCCCCATCATCTGCAGCAAATCAGAGTATGCGTTTACTGTTTAGTCATCAACGGACTTACGAGATGATGTCGACTCATTTAAATTCCAGTTATTTCGTATTTTTATGGCTGAAAGTTTTGTCCTTTTTTCAAATATCCGAGTTCTCTACAAAGTAAGCTTCGCTGTACCGGACTCAGCACATTGACACCTTTGCGCTGCTCGATACTGGCTACGCACTCATTACGACCCCCCCCCTCTCCTGGCGGCCAAATACGACCCCCCCATGGGGATTCCCCAACCAATGCTGTGCCCTGATGTCAACTCATGCTCACATCAGTGACGCAGACAACTTATCGTAGCTCTGTTTCTCTGACTCTCACCTGTACTTGGTCGGTCCGAAAATATGTGCCGATCGGCGCATTCGGCCGTCGCCGTTCGTATGGCTGAGAACGCGAACAGCCATACCGTCACCTGCCGCATCGGACATCGACCTATTCAGCGTTCGTCACCGTGCGGCATAGAAAGTAATCTACAATGACGATACTTCATTCGTTGGACAGACCGAGAATCGGAAATCGAAACGCGAAAGTTCAAGCGATAGCGACTTTCACGTCTTCATAGAAAATCGATCAGGGTATACAAGAAGCGTACAATAGATCAAAATTCGGTGCAAAGATCACATAATAAAAATCAATATTGGCGGCCACTGCTGAATCAATAAATGCGCCACTGCTGCTCTAGTCAGTGCAAGAGGAAGGGGAGCGCTAGGCCGTGTAGAGGCAGTGTATGTGAGACCACCAGACGTGCTTCCCGGGCTCAAAAACGAACAAACACTGTATGCGAGGCAGCAGACAAGCAAAGAATGGGTTTTTCTTCGCCGGGTTCTATTTATCGTTTACATGACACCTAGAACTTTTCGTGATGGTCCTGCGCGAAACGCCGGAACGCAGAGGAAACACAGGATTGCGACCCCCAAGGATTACGTGACAACTAGAACTTTTGCTAAGGGTCCTGCTGCGAAAGGTCAGAGCGCAGAGAAACAAAGAACTGCGGCCGCCAAGGCATCGAGAGGACAAAAAATATCGCGAATAGGAGATGATTTCCTCCAAAGGGAGAAGACACTGGGTTGGATGGGCCACTTATTATGCGTGAAAAGTTGGAATGCGAAAGAGAGCGCAGGAGAAAAACAGAAAGTTGGAGCCATTCAAGGGGTTGGGTTTCAGTTGTCCGTAGACCACCGCCAAGGCATCAAAAGGTACCAGGAACATACAGCGGATCAAGGCGTGAGCTTTTTCAGGGGCACAGGAGTCCGGGGTGGATGAGCCTTTTATCAGTTTGAAACTGTGAGGTTAAAAAAATACCATGTAGACGTACCAGAAAACGGGTTATACGGTCATCTTGAACTTAATTCCTTTGATCGCACAAACTTCCTATTTTTCTCTGCGCTCTCACATCTACATGGTATTTTTTACCCATAAGACCTTACACTTTCAAACTAACTTGGAGACAGACTGTGATGTTTCGCGTTCGTCGCGCGCGCCGTATCATGCGGCAAAGCGCGGCAGATTGTCGATGTGCACCATGCAGTTTGTGGATTGGAGCAACGAGACTCATATGAATCCAAGCTGATATAGGAGTCCATGAGTCAATGATGGGCCATATCGAATTTTTCTATTCCTTTG